GTCTAACTTTGTGACATGACTTCCCATTGCGTCAGCATTCGTTTTTTCTCCTCAGATTAATTTTTGAAGCTCGTAAGACTGTTTTTGCGCTGAACCATGTGTAATTACGTATGGTTCAGTATGGCTGGTACGAAAAGAGATCCGCCGCCGATCCTGGAATGTGTCACAGAGGTGAAGAAGTTCCGAAGTGGAGGAGGTAGTGATGAAGCGGCCATGTAAGTACCGAGAGCTTCAATTATCATCTTCTATTTGTCTTGTTGTCTACGTCTATTTTAGGACCGTAACACGTTCTAATTCCAATAATGTTCAAAATCCCATTGCTGATGGTAAAGCTCCTTTGTGCTCTACAGCTGAGTAAGTCATCTTCCAGTCTCTCTTCATAGCATCTCTAAGCTAATTTTCAAACTTTGGAATCATATCAGCTCTGTAAAGTGTCTCATGAGATGGTATCAGTCTCGATGTCCCCTAAAACAGAAGGAAAGAGCTCACGCTGCTGCCTGAAGTCATGCACACTTTCACTATCTATCGAAATGTCAGTTGTGAACTCAATAGTGAAATAGTGGCTGTGGCAAGAAACAAGGGAAAATGTACTTCCTTATTTCAATGTTTACTACGCTCACACACTTGCGACAGACGACATATGTTGAATGCTTTCTGCTTTATGAAAGCTGAAATAAATCGGAGGAAGTGAATATCGTTGAATTTAGACCTTTTTTCACTAGAATTTGGTCCATTCAACAAAAGATGCTTAGAATCTACTTACGCCGAAAATAACAAGGTATCAGTTCACAATGAAAGAAAATCAGGCAATTATAGAAAGTTAGTCTCAGCTGTAATTAGCCCAGACTAAAAGTGTCGTGAGATGAGGTACTTCAACTCGGACAGCGGGTAATATCGTCATCAGGTCGAAGCATTTGAAAAATGAAATTATATGTTCGAAGTTGAGATATAAAGTGCTCTTCCTTACTTGAGGATGTCGACTATTAGCCGGAAGAGTTATTAGAGAAATTCGTCGACTACTTCTTGACTGCTGTTATGCCTCTCAGAAAGAAATCATAAGCAAACAAATACTTCTAATACAAATTACCCAATCATAGCATTTGATCTGTAATCTGTTTAAGGACACATTCTCACTCTCAGCATGAGAAAGAACTCAGAAGGGAACGTGGAGAAATGCTTCTCCGACTATATCGAGAGCACCCTTTGCTCATTGTGAGTTGGTTTATTTACGAAGTAGTACTCTACTTATCTGTTTTTCCCCAATTGTTCACATTGTGCTCTGTGCGCAGGACACAGCGACTGCAAGAACCATGGAGAAAAATCAAGAACGGGCTCAGTTATGGGAGAAGATAACCTATCAGGTGAATGAATTATTGCATTTTTTATAATGATTGTTATAAAAATTTAACTAATAAATGATCTGTAGATCAATGATGTCTTTGGCAGCAAGCTCGAAGTTCTATCTGTGGAAAAAACAAAGAAGTTGCTGACATATTATAAGAAGAAGGATGATGGGAGCCATGAAAAACTGTGCGGCTTTGGTTTTACGTGTATTTTTTTCCTATTGTCAGTTCAAAAACCTTTTTTGGTACAATTCTCTCTTAGTAAACCACCAAGTAAAATCTCAATGG